TGAGCGTGGTGCTGACAACACCAAGCCAAGGGTTGAGATCCCCTTACCGGTCATCCTTTAAAAAAAAAAAGAAGAGGGAAATTTGGACACAGACACAGAGCAGACAGTGTGAAGGCAGAGGCAGAGACTGGAGGGACACAGCCACAAGCCAAGGGACACCTGAAGCCGCAGAAGCTGGAAGAGGCAGGAAGGACCCTCCCCTGGAGCCTTCAGAGGGAGCATGGTGCTGCCCCACCTGGACTTTAGACTTCTGTTCTCCAGAACTGGGAGAGCGTAAATCTCTGCTGTTTTAACCCCCCAGATTGTAGTGCTTTGTTATGGAAGCCCCAGGAAGCGACTGCACTCTACTCGCCGGCACCTTCCCTGGAGTCACACATGTCCACAGCATTTGGACTCCGCCCGCTGAGTCTGTATATTAATCTCCTGTGGCTGTTGTAAGAAACTATCACAATCATAGTGACTTAAAACAGTGAAATTTGATAGTGGGCAGTTCTGGAGGTCGGAGTCTGACAAAGGCCTCACTGGGCTAAAGTCAAAGTGTGGGCAGGGCTGTGCCTCCTGGAGGCTCCAGGGCAGGACCCATGTCCTCCTTTCCCAGCTTCTAGAGGCTCCTGCAGCCCTCGGCGCATGGCCCTTTCTTCCATCTGCAAAGCCAGCAGCGCAGCGTCTTCCAGTCTCTGCCTCTGACCTTCCTGCCCCCTCTTATGAGGACCCTTTGAGGACACTGGGCCCCTGAATAACCCAGGATCATGTTCCATCTTAAGGTACTTAGCTCCATCCCATCTGCGGAGTCCCTTTGCCATGGGAGGTGATGTATCCACAGGCTCCAGAGATCAGGACAGGGCTGTCTTTGGGGGCCATCTTTGGGCCTCCCACAGCATGGTTTTGTCCGTGGGGTTCTCTCTCCTGCAGAAAAGGAGAACAACTTCCCGCCCCTGCCTGGGTTTATCCCCCTGAAGCCCTGCTTCTACCAGAACTTCTCCGATGAGATCCCCATTGAGCACCAGGTGCTGGTGAAGAGGATCTACCGGCTGTGGATGTGTGAGCCATGGGCAGGCTGGGCAGCATGGGGCGAGTGGGAGGCAGGGCTGGTTCCAGCACAGGTGCCAAGGGCAAGGGGCACCCGGTTGAACCCTGAGACTAACAGGCGATGGAGCTGCCTGTCTTCGGGCTGTGAAGCCTGGACTATGTCCTGTCTCTGTAATAAAACTCTGTCTTGAGGTGGCATCATTGGGTGGACACAGCAGCCCAGGTAGGAACTCTCTGTCCACGCGGGCTGTGAAGCCTGGACTATGTCCTGTCTCTGTAATAAAACTCTGTCTTGAGGTGGCATCGTTGGGTGGACACAGCAGCCCAGGTAGGAACTCTCTGTCCACCTGAGCCCATCTCTGGGCCCCATGGTCCCTGCGGTGAACAAGGCTGGCATCCTGGGCCTGGCTCCGATGCCCCAGCTCACCCAGCTCAGCTGTCATGTGGGGGAGTGAGGCTTGGATGGGATGGGCAGACGTGAGTCCCCAGTGCCCAGCAGGCAACCCTGTGACCCACAGGTGTCCTCAGTGTCCAGCAGGTGTCTCCAGGGCCCCACAAATGTCCCTATGGCCCGGCAGGTGTCCCAGCTCAGCCTCCTGTTCACATTTTTACCTCAGTTTACTGTGCTACCCTCGCGGTCAACCTCATCGCCTGCCTGGCCTGGTGGATCGGTGGTGGCTCGGGAGCCAACTTTGGCCTGGCCTTGGTCTGGCTGCTGCTGTTCAGCCCCTGTGGCTACGTGTGCTGGTTCCGACCCGTCTACAAGGCCTTCCGGTGAGTGGGAGCCGCCAGGGCACAAGGCCAGCCTGTGCCTGCACTGCACTCTCGGGGGGTCTTGGGAAGCATCCAGCACAAATAGTCTGCTCAGAATTGCTAGTGACCGAGATACCTTCCCACGTGTGTTCTGTTTTTGCCACTGTTTCTCACACAGAGGGAACCTGGCCCTGGCTTGCCCAGGACAGTTCTGGTCTACTCATGGGGCCCTGGCGCTGTTGTTAGTAACTGCCCCTTTCTCTTGTCTGGTCAGAGTGAGAGTTTCTATCAGGAGTTGGCAAGCTCCAGCCATAGGCCAAATCCCCCTGCTGCCTGCTGATAAAAACTTCATTAAGATACACTTCACATACCACATACTTAAAGTGTACAACGCAGTGGCATTTAGTACTTTCACAGATTTGTGCAGCGTGAGAGATGCCCTCACCCATCTAAATGCCAAAGGATGGACACAGAGACATGACATACAGCGAAGTGAGACTTTAATGACGGCCTTGCAAGGTTCGGGTGTCTGTGAATGGGACAGGCAGATGGAAAAAGGCTATAGCAATTTATTCCTTAGTACACAAATCCCTCCCCCCACTTCCTCATTGGCTGAGTACTACAGGGTACGAAATCTTCCTGAACGACGCCTAAGATTTATTACCCCCTTGCAAGGAATTCCTTTGTCTGAGGGCTCAGGACAAGCCCGTGAAAAAGGCCCGCTTAAGCCCTGTGAAGGGAGAAACACCAGGAAATGAAAAAATCAGTGGTGGCTAGTAACTCATTACCATGTCAAGGAGAGCTCTACCTGTTCAGCAGCCCTCCGGGAGTGGGCTGGACCAGTCAGACAACTTTCGGGCTGGGCCTGAATCAGTTAAAACACCCTCAGATAAGTCATTTCTGAAAATGAATCACTTAGATTATTTTCTTACATGCAGCCAGCACCCCTAATTCCATAAGTTTCTCATCACCCCAAAAGGAAGCCCTGTCCCCATCAGCAGTCACTCCCATCCCCTTGCCCAGCCCCCAGCAACCAGGAGTCCACTTCCTGTCTCTGTGGATTAGCCTGTTCTGGACATTTCATGTAAATGGAATCACACACTGTGTGGCCTTTTGTGTCTGGCATCTGTCACTGAGTGTGATGTGTTCGAGGTCCATCCATGTGCTAGCATGTGTCAGAGCCTCGTTCCTTTTCATGGCTGAGTGATGTTCCAGTGTGTGGATGGGCCGCACTGTGTGTGTCTGTTCATCTGTGTGTGGACACTAGGCTGTGTGCACCCTGTGGTGGTTATCAAGCATCATCTGCTGTGAGCATGTGCCCCCAGCCCACCCCCCTGCACTCAGCCCTGTGTCGTTTTCACCCCAGATGGCCCCTGATCTCAGCCACTTAGCGTGAGTCAGGAAGGCTCTCCTTGAAGACAGGAAACAGATGCCCACTCATGTTTGCTGAAGCACAAAGGGGCTGAATGTCAGGGGCTGGCTTGGGGCAGCCGCAAACCAGAGCACAGCTGGGCTTCAGGAAGAGCCAGGAAGCAGTCCTGAGCTTCCAGAAGCTTCTCTGCCTCTCCCCACCCTTCCCTGCAGTCTCCTCCACAGCCTGCCACGCTGGGCATGGCAACATCTTCAGAGAGCGTTAGAACCTCTTAAGTTCTAACCAGCTTAGACGAGGGGGTTGTGGCATCTTGCTAAGGAGCCATGCTGTGACCCTTTGTGGTCAGAGCGCAGTGTGAGCACACGTGTGATAGTGCATGATTGTGCATGATAGTGCATGTGTCAATATCTAAACAGGTGAGAGGGCCCCGGGCCTGCCCTTCCTGCCAGCCACTTGCTTGTGGGTGGGCATCTGGGAGGGCTGGGCCGAGGTGACTAACAGCTGTGTTTCCTGTCTCTCTGCAGAGCCGACAGCTCCTTTAACTTCATGGCGTTTTTCTTTATCTTTGGAGCCCAGTTTGTCCTGACTGTCATCCAGGCGATCGGCTTCTCAGGATGGGGTGCATGGTGAGCTTTCCTCCCTAAGTGTTGCAAGTGGCGCGCGTGGATACTGTGTGCACGTCGGCCAGCGCAGGCTGCGGGCTGGGTCGCACAGACCTGAAGCGCGAAGTGCCTGGGGACAGACATCTGCTCCCTGCTGTGGCGAGCAGTCCAAGGAGGTGGTGTGCAGGGGTGGGGGCGTCTGCTCCGCAGGAGGCTCGCCCACATCCTGTCGGCCATAACACTTGTTACCCAGCCACACCTGGCTGCTGGGGAGACGGGGAAGCACAGCCCAGCACTGTGCCCCTGGAGAAGGACAACTAGTGGCCCCACTTGAAACGCCATTATCTAGAGAGACACTCTTGAAATGCTGGCGTCTTCTCCCTGTCTTATGTTTGTTTGCTTTTAGCATGTTCTGTGAAGCTTCTGTGGCTTCTGTAACAAAGGACCTCAAACTGAGTGACTTAAAACAAAATGTTTATCCTCTAATAGTTCTGGAGGTCAGAAGACTAAAGGCAAGCTGTGGGCAGGGCTGGTCCCTCCTGGAGGCTCCAGGGGAGGACCCGTGTCCTCCTTTCCCACCTTCTAGAGGCACCCACAGCCCTCGTGCGTGGCCCCTTCCTCCGTCTGTAAAGCCAGCAGCGCATCATCCAGTCTCTCTCCGACTCTGACCCTCCTGCCCCCTCTTATGAGGACCCTGTGAGGACACTGGGCCCCCAGGTAACCCAGGATGACCTCCCATCTCAAGGTCTTTAACTTCATCCCATCTGCAGAGTCTCTTCTGCCACAGGACGTGACGTATCCACAGGTCCCAGGGGTCAAGATGGGGACATCCTTGGGGCGACTGTTACTCAGCTGGTCACAGCTTGTGGCATTTGGCGTGCCATGAGATACCGAGCCCAGCCTTTCTTTTGTTCTCTTGTTTTCTCGGTGCCGGCAGAGCTGTTTGTTTTGCCCTCTCAGCTCGTGTGCTGCCCCAGTGTGTCCCGACGTGGGTCTCTGTCACGTTCTCTCGGACCGGCAGGAGCTTTCCGAGTCTGCGTGGCCAGGCTGGCCTCCTGGGCCACCTCGTCCAGGTCTCTTGTTCTGCTTGTTCTGTTTCTTCTGCCGCTCCGCACGGGGCATCCGTTGCCCTTGTGTTCCACGTCAGGGTTGTTCTCTGTCTGGGGAGCACTGCCGGCCTGTCCTCCGCATGCTGAGCTGGTCACTTTCTTTGTGATCTGAGGCCTCCCGCATGGATTTAAGCCTCGCTCATGTGGCTTCCTTCCTTCTGTCCATCTGCTCCTGTGCTCTGCTCCTGTGCAGAGTTGAAATCGTCCACTTCTCACTTAGGGTCTATATTAGTCCATTTTTGTTGCTTATACCAAAGTACACGGAACTGGGTGATTTATAAAGAAAATCAAATTTATTGCTTACAGATTCCAAGGCTAGGAAGTCCAAAGTCCACCTGGTGGTGGCAACAGTGACCCAGGGGTCTCATATTGCAAGATGGTGGAAGCAGAGAGAGCAGAGAGAGACAGATTCTCATGTGCTCTCCTTTTAAAGCCGTCAGAACCATGCCCCTGACCACCATTTTTAGTCCATTCACTACTGCAGGTCCTACAATCTAATCACCTCTTCAAGGCTCCACCTTTCAATGACCATCATAGGATCTCCCACCCTCTTAACAGTCCCAGTGGGGGCTAAGTTTCTAATACATAAAGCTTGGGGGATACAATTAAACTTCAGTGAATTTTGGGGAGACATAATTCAATCCACTACAGGTCATTTCTAGGACATGTGTCGCCTGTCTTTTAAGCATCATTCCCTTCCCTGCAAAGTGAGGTTCGTTCTCTCCCTCGCGTGGAAGAGCCGTGCACAGACATCAGTATGGCCTTTGCCCTTTGCTGGTGCACTCCTGGGTCTGGGTCCTGATCTGAGTCTGGAGGGCAGAGGAGGTAGTACATTGTGGTCTGCCCCCTCCCGGGGTCTGTTACCCCTCCTGAGGATCCCTCCCACCTGGAGTCTCCCCCCTCCTGGGATCTGGGAGAAAACTGGCAGCCTAGCCCGTGGGACATTTCCATGTGGATCTCTGATAGGGAAAGACTTTAAAAATATGTAAAATGTGTGTGCAGCCCCAATACAGTCATCACCCTAAGAAGCTAACAGCAATGCCCTGACGTCAGACACACAGAAGTGCTTACCCTGCCCCACGTGTTCTGCACTTACTGCTGGGTTCTCAGATACACTGGGAACTTTGGAGCGAGATCGGACGGAGCGCCCTGTCCCCCTGCCCAGCTGCCCTGCTAGCATCTCCTCTCCGGCACATCCGAGAGCTTTGCATGGGGGCCGTGCCGCTCACGAAGCTGCGGGCTGCTTCAGGTCTGCCCGGCTTTTCCATCCATGCCATTCTGCTGTTCAGGGTACTGAATTGTGTTTGGTACACTTCTCCTTAGCTGTGTGTCAAATCGGAATACAGGCAGGTGCACAGGCTTCTGCAGGTCCCTGTCACCCAGCATGGAGCCAGCCCATGACGGGACTTGCAGAAGCTCCTCTGGCCTCTCCCTCCTCACGCACACTGGACGGCAGTGACCCAGCTCTCCTTTTCTTGAAACATTGGGTTGTTTCCTAAAGATCAGTATGAGAAACCCTAGCACGTGCCAAAGCCCAAGATGGCTAAAGTGAACAGTCTCAGACAAGGAAATGCAGGTGGTCTTTAGAGAGGAGGAGGCCACCCAGCCTTGGGTGTATAGAGGACGGCCCAATGCCAGGGCAGCTTCGTGTCCACACTGGCTAACAGAGGTCCCACAATTGGTGTGCTGCCAGTGGGGCAAATCGTGACAACCCGCCATGCCCTGAGTGGCTCGACCACTGCCCCATCTTTCGCTGTGGGTGACAGCTCCAGATTATGAGCCACAGCATTATTTGTGGTCGCTGAGGGCTGGAAACAACCTGCACAGTTGACCCTTAGTGGGGCCTGGCTGAGTCAACGTGAGGTGGCCCCATCCAGGCAGCATGGGGCTGCTGGGCCCTGGCTTCTGCAGGTGGCCCTGGCATCTGAGCAGTGCATCTGCGCCTTAGGCATGCCACACACGTTGATGTGGAGCCTGGGAAGGTGGCCATGCCACTGAGTCATGTGGGAGCTCTCTGCAGCGTCTGGCCACTTTCTGTAAACCTAAAGTTATTCCAGAATGGAAGTTTATTTTAAAAATAGAAAGAAGAGGGCCGGCCCATGGCTCACTCGGCAGAGTGCGGTGCTTATAACACCAAGGCCACGGGTTCGGATCCTATATAGGGATGGCCGGTTTGCTCACTGGCTGAGCGTGGTGCTGACAACACCAAGCCAAGGGTTGAGATCCCCTTACCGGTCATCTTTTTAAAAAAAAAAAAAAAAAAAATAGAAGAAAGAAGAAAAAATTTTTTTTTTCCTTTTTGTTTTTTTCCGTGTCCGGCAACGGATCGCAACCCTCAGTGTCGCCCCCGTACCAGACCGGGACCGGCAACGGGATCGCAACCCTCAGTGTTGCTCCCATGCCTCGCTCAGCCAGTGAGCGGGAACCGGTCTGTATGTGGGATCCGAACCCTCGGGGGGAGCGCCACCGCGCTTCCCAAGCGGCGCACTATAGCAGTGCGCCACCGGGCCGGCCCCAAGAAGAAAAATTTTCAAATGGCAAAGAGAACATGAAGGCCTTTCACGCACTGCTATGGGAAGCTCTGAGCAAAACCACCACATAGAGAGCAGGTGAGCAGCCCGCGTGCACAGGTGCTGCTGTTTCGCAGGCAGGGGTGCATGCATCGTATGCCCACCTACACACGTATGCACACATCTTTGCACACTTTTTAGGACCCACAGTAGACGGTTATGCTGGTTGCCTGCAGGCTGGGGAGGGGAGTCTGCAAGACGGATGTTATTAGTTGTCTATTCTCTTAAGTTTCCTGAATTTTAAACTTGTGGTTTTATTACCTGTTTAGAAAATAGCACAAAGATACCATAGTTCCTGCCCTCTACCAGGTGAATGGACACCCGATGAATGTTGAATGTTCTTCCGTACACAGACTTTTTTTTTTTTCCCTGACCAGTAAGGGGATCGCAACCCTTGGCATGGTTTGGTCTGTACCACGCTCAGCCAGTGAGCACACCGGCCATCCCTTTATAGGATCTGAACCTGCGGCCTCGGTGCTACCAGCACCGCACTCTCCCGAGTGAACCACAGGGCCGGCCCTCCATTCTTGTTTTTTGAATGTCTCCTTAACACTCCGCTGTGTGGAAGTGGCATAATTTACGTTTGCGTTGCTCTCAGACAGTGCACATTTAGGTTATTCTCCGTTTCATTATTATAAACAGTTCCGTAGGATAAATTCTTAGAAGTGGACTACAAGGGGTAAAATAACTAAGCATTTAAGTCTTTTCATAGCCAATGTCCACTTGCCCTCCTCAAAGAGTCACTAACAGGGTAGTGCTCATTTCTCCATTCCTGCACACACGTGAAGCTTGCTGGTGTGATGGCAGAAAAGTGACAGGTTGTTCTCACTTGCATGTCTTCATGGTGGGCTTGGGCATCATTTCCTACATAGGACAACATAGTTGTCCTTGTATGGATTGTCCATTTCTCCAAGAGTTGTTTATCTTTTTCTTGTTGATTTGTCAGAGCTCTTTACATAGGAAGGACAGTGCACCCTGTCTGGGGCGTGCTGGAGCCCACACTTTCTTTCGCCCCTGCAGTGGTTGGCTGGCAGCAATCGGGTTCTTCCAGAACAGCGTTGGGGCTGCCGTGGTCATGCTGCTGCCGGCCATCATGTTCTCCCTGTCGGCTGCCATGATGGCCATTGTGATCATGAAGGTGAGTCCAGCCCTCCCCGAGTTCCCATGCTCATCTGACCATCCTAGGTTTGTGACCTTGGGGGAGCCCAGACGTGGCTTCCAGAATCCTCCCCCAGGGGAGTTGGGCAGGACGTGCTCCATCCCCAGCAATGGGCCATTGTGACATATATGATGTGTCATCCCAGAGAAGTGCACAGAGACCTAGAGCCCGGGGGTGTTATGTGGGGGTGGTTCACGTAGCCCCCTCTGCCTGGCAGGTGTGAGATTCCAGACTCCAGAAGGAAGGTGTGCTTGAGCCCCTCCTGCCAGTGAGGGTGCCCCCCCAAGCCCAGGTTCCTAACCCCAGTGGGGGGCCTCACAGCTGCCTGGTGTCCTGAGGACACAGCCCTGGGCCACCTCTGTTCTGCATCCCCATCCCCTGCCCCCACTGAAGAAATCGATATTTAATGCAGGTAGACAGACAGTTGCACAGCAAGAGATGAATTCCATTGGGAAATAACAAAGGTGTTCAACTGGGCTCAGAGTCAAGGACATCAAATGCCATTTTTTTGCTTTTTTGTTGGTGGTTGGCCAGTACGGGATCCGAACCCTTGACCTTGGTGTTATCAGTACCCTGCTCTACCAAGTGAACTACTGGCCAGCCCTCATTTTTTGCTTACTGAAATGACTACGGTTTCTAGAAATAGGACAGCTAGTGTTCTCAGAGGTGTGGCCGGGGCAGGCAGGCACAGTCATTCTGTGTGGTGGCATGTCTGCAGTCCATCACTAGCAGTCTCTGCCGGGAAACTGTCACAGACATGCCCAAAGAAGAGTGGATCCCACGGCCTGGGATAGACAACTAATGATTATAACGAGTTTATTGTGTGTTTTCCTGTGCCAGCTCTGCCCAAGCGGCTTTGCACATTCAAACTCACTGATGGCCCAAATGTCAGGCCAGGGACATGCAACGGGCTGTCAGCCTCCAGTGCCTGGTTGTTTGGTCACTACCCAACAGCTGAGGCCTGGCCATGCCACATGGCGATGACTGGCAGTGCCACAGGAGAAGTGGTGGAGACTGTGCTCCTCAGGGAAAGATAAGCCCCCAGACATGCCCACAGATGAGCCCTTTCCACGAAAGAAATGCTAGCTTGGCTGTGGGCTTTATCAACACAGGAGAAGTGACCCGGGGCCAGAGCTCATGGCAGGGGCTTCTGAGTCCACAGTTTTGGCTCCCCTGCATTTTCTTTCTTTTTTTTTTTTAAAGATGACCAGTGAGGGGATCTCAACCCTTGGCTTGGTGTTGTCAGCACCACGCTCACCCAGTGAGCCACAGGCCGGCCATCCCCTTGCATTTTCTAAAGTTTCTACAAAGACTATTTATAGTTAAAGAACAGGGGTGTTATTTATGGACACTCAAGAAGAGAAGGAAGCCTCACTCTAACCAAGAGCAGGTCTCTCTCATCCATGGATGCACTGATCTTCTGTTCTCCACCTCCCCGTCCTGTGTCCCTGCAGGTGCACAGGATCTACCGAGGGGGCGGCGGAAGCTTCCAGAAGGCGCAGACAGAGTGGAGCACGGGTGCTTGGCGGAACCCTCCATCGCGGGAGGCCCAGTACAACAACTTCTCTGGGAACAGCCTGCCCGAGTACCCCACTGTGCCCAACTACCCAGCCAGTGGCAGCCAGTGGCCTTAGAGGAAGATGGCCAGCCCTGCGGCCCGCCTACCACCCCCTGCCCCTCCATTCCCACCACCGCCCTCGGTCCGGTGAGGCCTAGAGTGTCTGTCCCTACACCCTCCCAGGTGGGCCTAACCAGGGGCTTCCTCAGCCAGGGCAAGCACCGCCTGGCTGCTGGCTGACCCTGTCACCAGCAGAAGGATACCCTCTTGGTCCTAAAAGCGTGCGGTCGCTGTGATGTCTATGACGCAGCAGGCACAGCCTTTTCTCCCCAGGTTGCATGGGGCTGACCAGCCGCACCCCCTGAGGGAGGTGGCAGCAGGCTGACCGCCCTCCCGTTCTTCCAGAGCAGCCGGCGGCTGAAGCGGGAGCCCTCCTGGCACTGGGCTCCGTCTCTGCCCACCACCCACCCATCACCAGGGCAGACTCCCTGGCCCTGAAGCAGGAAGAGGCCTCGCAGCGCCAGCTCGCAGTCCCCGCAGGTGGCCGAGGGGCTCATTGTACAGCCCAGTCCCATGCTTTGTTATCCTCCAAAGTCCCCTTCCACAGCTAATGACTCCACAGAGCAGCCCACGGGGCACCCAAGCAGGTCGACCATGATCTGTGCGTCTCCCCGGCCCCCAGCCTACCTCCCCACCTCTCTTCCCCCATAACCGAGAGATTCAGGAACTCCATCAGCTGGTGTGGTTACTGGAGATGGTCCCCTCCTCGAACCAGGGACCTTGGGCACAACCTCTGCTCCCCGAGATCCAAGACCCGGTTCCTTTGCTGGAGGAGAGAGAGGCCAGGTGGGGAGCATGGCCTCCCCCCCCAGACAAAGCAAACGTATAGGAAGATGCAGAGCGTCCGTGGGCCACGTGTACCCCAGCACTGGAGAGTGACACCGGGGACTGGATGCTTCTGCCTGGACGTTGGGATCCTTCTCAGTCTGCAGGAAGCAGAGACAGTTTCCCAGGAGGCAGGAGTCCTCCAAGAATGACCTTTTACGAAGAAACAAGACGTGACGCATCTCTGTGCCTTCAGCAAACAGCCCCTCTTTTCTCCCCTCCCATCCTGTCACTGCTCACTGCCACTGAGACGGTTTTGTCTTTGTCGGAAGAGCTGGAACACATCCCGCGGGGATTCCCGCAGCACCTTTGATAATGGTTGGGCCAGAAACAAACGTTCCCTCAGCAGCCGTTCCCCACCCACTGGCCACGTCCTTGTGGGCACCCCGGTAGCTGCCCCTCCTGGAGGACAGGGACCCCCTCCCCAGCACCGACCGACCACACAGGGATGTCTTCCCAGCAGGCAGGCAGCCCAGGTGGAGAACCTGCGGGGCTGCAGATCCAAGCCTGGGGACCCCCGGGTCCTCAGCCATGCCCCAGCCCACCTCCTGCCCCCACGCGGAGTGAGGTGGAGGCCATGAGCCGGGTGTGGGAAAGAGCGTCTGGGTTCGCCAGCAGCCCCCACCCCTCCCCGCCGCGTTGTGCACTCTCATGACATTGTGCTGGTTTTTGTTATGTGAAAATATTCTGGAATTAAATTCTCTTTCTGCATCAGATCGAGCGAGGGCACTGCATGTGTGTGCGTGTTTCTCCCTGGCCGACTGTCCAGCGAGGGAGCCCCCAGCACGTGGCTTCTGGCAGGTTAAAGCCAGGTGAGCCTGTGCACCTGGGCTGCATCCGGCCACAAGGTGGCCCTGCCCCGTGCCCCCTCTGCCCAACATCTCCCTGGCGCCCTGCTGGGATCCTGTCGACAGCGGGGGGGCCCAGCCTTCCCTGTGCACGGGGAGGGAGTTCAGGGCAGGGACCTCCCACCCCTGGTCCAGCCTCGCTCTTCACGTCACGTCACACACACGCCACCATGATGCAGTTTCCTTTATGCTCAGTGTTTTTTATTTGAAAAGGAAATTTGCAGAAAAATGTAAAACCAACGTCATTGGCCATGAAGAAAAAGTAACCATCAAAGAAGCTCAAATAAAAAGGGGATCTTACAACAGAAAGCCCGGTGGGAGGGGCACAGGGGCAGGAGGGTGGGGGTCTGTCGGTGGGGCTCATTGGATTTGGGGCTCACCAGATGATCCAGGATGATTTCATTAGAAAATCCTTAATTACATCTGTGAAGACCCTTGTTCTGAATAAGGTCCCAGGTTCCAGGATGTACCTTTTTGGGGGGCCACCACTCAGCTCACTATAGGGGAACCACCAAGGGGTGGGAGGAGCAGCCGGCTGTGGAGTAGGAGGAAAACCAGGGATGCCTGGAGGCAGCAGTCGCTGGCCGGGCCCTGCTGAGGCTGGACCAGGGGCCTGGCAGGGTGGGGACAGTGGCTGAGGGGCTTAGAGAGGATTTGGACAGGTTCCCTGTAAGGGGGAGGTGTGAGCTATCGCTGGAGTGAGGGGTGGGCTGAGCAAGGATGCTTCAGTGAGAAGGTGACAACAGCTGTGTTGCTGATGGAATGATCCAGAAGGGAGAGGAAACTGCTGTAGCTATTCCGCAAGAGGGCTCCAGGAGTAGAGGCCCCGATCATGGTCGGGAGCAGAGACAGATCACCAATGGTGACAGGATGGCCACAGGGGAGGAGGGTGGTCCTGCTTGCTTCTTGCCAGACTCCTTTAGCTCAGGATCTCTCTCCCTCAGCACTGTTGACATCAAGAGGCCGGATCACTCTCTGTGGTGGGCCGTCCTGGGCACTGCAGGTGCTGAGCAGCGTCCCTGGCCTCCACCCACTCCATGCCAGGAGCACTCCCCAGTCGTGACAACCACAAATGTCCCCATACATTGCCCAGTGTCCCCTGGGGGCAGCATCAACCCCCATTGAGAACCCCTGTTTTTAAAATTTCTTTCTTTTTTTTGACGGATGGCTAGTACGGGGGTTGAACCCTGGACCCCGGTGGAGAACCACTGTCTTAGCCGCAAAATTTAACCTAACAAAATTATTATTGACGGAAATCAAGAGCGGCAACTGAATTGGAAAAATTGATGTAGTTTTCTTAAAAGTCTGATAGAGAGGGCCAGCCCGTGGCTCACTCGGGAGAGTGTGGTGCTGATGACACCAAGGCCATGGGTTCGGATCCC